TTCAAGCTATACTACAAGGCTATAGTAACCAAAGCAGCATGGTACTGGCACAAGAACAGAAACACAGGCCAATGCATCACAACAGAGAACTCAGATATAAAACCATCCTCATATAGCCATCTGATCTTTGACAAAGCAGACAAAAACATACACTGGGGAAAAGAATCCCTATTCAATAAATGGTGCTGGGAACATTGGACAGCCGCATGTAGAAGACTGAAACAGGATCTGTACCTCTCACCTCTCACAAAAATCAACACATAATGGATAACAGACTTAAACCTAAGGCATGAAACCTTAAGAATTCTAGAAGAAAATGTTGGAAAAACTCTTATGGACATTGGCCTAGGCAAAGAATTTATGAAGAAGACCTCAAAAGCAATCACAGCAGCAACAAAAATAAATTAATGGGATCTGCTCAAATTAAAAAGCTTCTGCACAGCCAAGGAAACAATCATTAGAGTGAATAGACAACTTACAGAATGGGGGAAAATATTTGCATGCTATACATCTGATAAAGGGCTAACTAGAATCTATAAAGAACTCAAGCAAATCAGCAAGAAAAAATCAAACAACACCATTAAAAAGTGGGCAAAAGACATGAACAGAAACTTTTCAAAAGAAGACAGACTAACGGCCAATAAAACATATGAAAAAATGCTCAACATCTCTAATCATCAGGGAACTGCAAATCAAAACCACAGTGAGATATCACTTAACTCCAGTGAGAAAGGCTTTTATCAAAAAGTCCCAAAACAACAAATGTTGGCATGGATGCAGAGGGATAGCAACACTCAAACACTGCTGGTAGGACTGCAAACTAGTACAACCTCTATGGAAAGCAGTATGGAGATACCTCAAAGAACTAAAAGTAGAACTACCATTTGATCCAGCAATCCCACTACTGGATATTTACCCAAAGAGAAAAAGAAGACATTCTTTAAAGGAGACACTTGCATTCAAATGTTTATAGCAGCACAATTCACAATTGCAAAGATGTGGAAACAACCCAAGTACCCATCAGTACTAGAGTGGATTAATAAAATGTGGTATATGTATACAATGGAGTACTACTCAACCACAAAAAAATGGTTAACTAATACCTCTTGTATTATCGTGGATGGAGCTGGAGCACTTTCTTCTAAGTGAAGTATTGCCAAAGCAATCCTGAGTGAAAAGAACAAATCTAGAGACATCACACCACCCATCTTCAAATTATACTAATGTAACCAGAACAGCATGGTACTGGTATAAAAGTAGAGACACAGGCCAATGGAACGAAATAGAGAACCTAGAAATAAAGCCAAATCCCTAAATCCAACTGATCTTCGCAAAGCAGATAAAAACAAGTATCACAAGAATGAAAAAACAAATACTACATGTACTCACCATTAAATTGGAACTGATTGATCAACACTTATGTGCACATATGGAAATAACATTCATCGAAAATCAAGCAGGTGGGAGGAGGTAGGAAGGGATGGGTAAATTCACACCCAGTGGGTACAATGCACACTATCTGGGGGATGGGCACACTTATAACTTTCACTCAAATGGTAGGAGAGCAATTTATATAACCAAAACGTTTGTACCTCCATAATATTCTGAAATTTAAAAAGTCCCCCCAAAAAGGAGAGAAATCTCCATGCCATTTTCAATAGAGGTTGTACCAATTTACATTCCCACCAACAGTGTCTAATTGTTCCCTCTTCCCTACATCTGTGCCAACATCTTATTTTTTTATTTTTAATAATGACCATTCTGATGGGGTAAGGTGTTATCTCATTGTGGTTTTAATTTACATTTCTCTGATGATTAGTGAGGTTGAGCATTTTTTCATGTTTGTTGGACATTTATATATTTTTTTTTTTTTTTGAGACAGAGTCTCACTCTTTTGCCTGGCTAGAGTGCCGTGGCGTCAGCCTAACTCACAGCAACCTCAGACTCCTGGACTCAAGCGATCCTCCTGCCTCAGCCTCCCGAGTAGCTGGGACTACAGGCATGCACCACCATGCCCGGCTAATTTTTTTCTATATAGTTTTTTTAGTTGTCCAATTAATTTCTTTCCATTTTTAGTAGAGACGGGGTCTCACTCTTGCTCAGGCTGGTTGTATATCTTTTGAAAAATGTCTGTTCATGTCATTTTCCCGCTTCTTAGCAGGTTTTATTTTTCTTGCTGATTTATTTCAGTTCCTTATAGATTCTGGACATTAGTCCTTTGTTTGAATGTATAGTTTGTGATTATTTTCTCCCATTCTGTCAGTCATCTATTTACTCTTTTGATTATTTGTTTTTCTATGCAGAAGCTTATTAATTTATTAAAGTCCTATTTGTCTATTTTTGTTTATGTTGCATTTACTCTTGGGGTCCTAGTCATGTATTCCTTTTCTAGTTCAATGTCCAGAAGAGTTTTTCTAGGTTTTCTTCTAGGATTTTCATGGTTTCAGGTCTTGCATTTAAGTCTTTAATCCATCTTGAGTTAATTTTTGTATATAGTGAGAGATAGGGATACAGTTGCATTCTTCTTCATGTGGCTCTCTAATTTTTCCAGCACCATTTATTGAATATGGTATCCTTTTCCTAGTGTATGTTTTTGTTTAATTCTGATTCAATTCTTTTGAGTATATACTCAGAAGTGGGATCACTGGATCATATTCTATATTTTGGGTAGCTATTGTAAATGAGATTGCTTTTTCACAGCTCACTGTAACCTTGATCTCCTGGGCTGAAGCAATCCTCCTGCCCCAGACTCCTGAGTAGCTAGGACTAGAGGTGTGCACCACTGTGCCTGGATAGTTTGCTTTTTGTAGCGTTGGGGTCTTGCTATGTTGCCCAGGCTGATCTTGAACTCCTGGCCTCAAGCAATACTCTTGCCTTGGCCTCCCAAATTGCTGGGATTACAGGTGTGAGCCACCACACCCAGCCTATATCCAATTTTTATTAATATATAGTTGAACTCAGATTATGTAACTGGCTCCATAAGCAAGAAAACATTTTTTGTAGGTTTTTTTTTTCTTGTAGTTCTCTTATGTTTCAAGTTCCCAGGCCAGTAAGATTTGCTGACTAGAACTTTGTAACTTTCTGTTGTACTGATGCATTCCCTGTTGAGTTTCTTTCCCAGAAGTGGTGGATCTTCCTTGCAGTCATTAGATAACTACAAAGCCTTACACCAACTGTTTGTCCGGAGAAGACAAGATATGCAATACTCTACCACAAATCGTGCCCAAGGACCCATTGAACCTGTGCATAAGGCTGAAAGAATGACAAATATTAACACCTAGTTTATTTTAATACTAAAATTCCCACCCTGGGTGGGACTTATCTGCCATTTTTTGAAAATGGGATGTATATGGGATGTATGTACTAGCATGATTTCTGACTGCACTTGTGTGCCCTGCACTCCACCTCAAACACATAATGATGCTCACTCCCCTCATACATTATTCATTTCACCTCTAGAAAAACCGCTGACCCTGTTGATCATGGAGGTGGCTTTGAGGCAGTCCATACCTTCCTCTCCCAGTAGATGTGTCTCCCGCAATAAATCCTTTCTTTCTTCACAATCCTTGTTGTCTCAGTAATTGGCTTTTTGTGCAGTGAGCAACATTGAACCCCCACCCCTTGTGGGTTCATTAACAATTATATATTTTGCCAATCACTATCCCATAAATTCTTGACCAACCACTTTGAGCATATTCTTCTAACAAACATAATCTAATAGGAGATGAAATTTTAAAAACATATATAAAACAGAAAATAGCAAGTTTATAAATGTTATAAAATTTTATTGAATACGATAGTAGTAAGGGAAGTGGTAGAATATCAATATTGTCTAGATTATTTAGGAAAGATTTCGTAATGAAAGTGGAATTTGATCTTACCCTAGAAAGTTACTATAATTCGGTCCAATAGTGAAAAGTGATTAGACTGTCTAGGTCAATGCAATGGCATGAGCAAAATTATGAAGCAGAAGTGAATCTACCCTGTAGAAGAACATAGGCTGGAGTTGAGGTGGCTATCTAGTTCCCATGATATTGAATTCAGAAATAAAATTGTATAGAAATGGTAGAGTCAGAGCACGATATACTTGAGAGCTAGTTATTTCTGTAGAAGTGAAAGACCTTTGTTGCTAAGCAGCTAAATCTAGAATTTAGTAACCTGAGAGACAAAAGGGGGAGGGCTTATATTTCCCTGTGTTCTGTGTAGTCTCAACTACAAATCTTTGTTCATTGACAAAGGGTGGTACAAACCATCTAGACAGAAAGGGGCATGGAAACTACTGTTTCTTTTACTGGTAGGTCATTCATCAAGTTTGGTTCTATGCATAAGTTGGTATCTAGAGTAGTCCTTTGGATAATGTGACATTTCTTAATTTTTGTTTTGTTTTACTTTTTAAAGATGGGAGTGACTTGAGTATGGCTAGGGAATAGGGTAACCAACCATTCTGGTTTGGCTGGAACTGAGGAGGTTGCTGGGATTCAGTACTTTCAGTTTTAAAACTAGGACATTCGCAGGTATATCAGGATGAGTTGCTTACCCTAATTGCCAATAAGAACAGGCAAAATAGGAGAATATGAAGATACAGTTGAGAGTACAGAAAATCGATAGAATCATCCCTCAAGGAGGTAGAAAATAAGATCTAGAACAGAAAGTAAGGGGCTACTACCTGAATCTGGGGGGAAATCATGCTTCCATTGAGATTTGGCTGGGGAGTGAGGTAGAGGAGAGGTGTATATGGATATGGATTCAGATAGCTTTGTAATGGTGGAAAACCTAGAAACCATTTTGCTCTTGAATTTGGTATCACTATAGATATATTTTTTGCTGCGTTCCAGAGAAAATGATCCATTTTACATTGTGACCTAGTGGCCTCACACACACATACAGTCCCAAATTTTTGGCACCAAGTGTGCAAGAGTTGCTAAGGATCTTCTATTTCCTTAAAGAAAGAAACTGCAGGTCATAACCAACTAAATTAATCCCATGAGTTTCTAATGGGTCGGATATTAGCAACAGAGAGATGGAAGAACAGTGCATTAGGGCATTAGGGTAAGGGGGGAGATGAGAAAGTAGGGATCTTGAGGAAATTGAAATAGCTTCAGGCAAAGGAAGAAAGAGTTTATAAAACATGTGGAGGAGGTCTGTTATCTAATTTGAGAGTCCAATTATGTTAGAGAACATGGAGTTTTAGTGGCACCACTTCATGGTATTGATGGTACAATAATGTTCCTTCAGGAGTTTGGTCTCCGGAATCCTGGGAATGAAGACAAAAAAGTCTGGCTGAAAGATTCTTTGGAGTTATTTTCCTATTCTTGCCTACTCTCATGCTAAGCTCCAAGAAAAACAATATGACAGCGGTTCATACAGCTCATCAGTCTTCTCCATAACACTATATCTTTTATTAGTTCTTTCCACTTTCCATCCTCCCATCCATAACAACTCCTACTCCATAATAAGTAGAAAAAAACACATCGGGTGCAATACAGAGAGCAAATATGGAAGTTAGGATTTCACCCCAATTCAGAGATGTTTGTCCTTGGAAGTTTTTTCTTTTCTCTTGGGTGCTACTTGCACCTTGTGGAATATGGTGCCTACCTTATAGCAATGAAAACTGCTCAGATGGAGCCAGGCTCTGTAGGCAACAATGGAAGGATATTGTTCAGACTGAAACAAGTCCTCCCCATCCACTAGCATCCACATAGCAAATCTAGGACAAATAAAAAACTTAAATATTTTATATTACAAAGGAAAACAGTACTTGGTTAACTATATTGTGATTGAAAGGCAATGAGAATGAATTTTCAGCTACTAGCACTGTAGATAAATGAGGAAACTCAGAACATTAAGGAGGTGTGAATGTAATATCCAGGACAATAAAGAAGAGAAAAATAAGGGATGGGAGGGTTTGAAACATCTGCTGAATTCATGTCTCCATTTCTTAGGCTGTGGAGACAGGACATGCCATTCCAGTTCTGATTGTACATTATCTTTTTTAAGTATTTCACAAGCACATTGTTTTGGATTTTTTTTTTCATAGTACCACTGGTGGCTTTGATGTAGGAGTGGAGAAATTTTATGACGAGATTAATACAATTCCCTGACCCCCACCTCCAGATCTGTGTTATAAGCAGGACTTTAGAGAGTTAAAGATTTTGGCACACAGTGGTTGAAGTGGTGGCTCAAATGACATGGAAGACAAAGGTGTGAGATTGAGAGAAATTTGGAGACAATGAAAGACAAAAGTATTTGGGTTCTCTTTGAGTTTGAAAAATAGAAATAGCAAGAGTAAAGGAGAGCTAGAAGGATTTAAATTGTTGGTAAATTGCTTAGGATATAAGAACTTTTCGTGTGATGACAAGGTATAAATCAGACTGTGAGTGGGTAAGCCCACGAATTACACTGATGATGAACTGAAGAAGTAACCTTTTAAAACCCTCCAGTTTTCAGATGGGTTGTCTATACACTGGCTAATATTAGCTAGGAGGACAGTAGGATTTTTGATGGAGAATATCAGTCAGGTGCCAAAGCCTTTGAAGTTTGTGCAAGAGTGATGGGGGTGGTTGACGAGAAATATAAAAAATAGTGCAGCTAGATGTTGTAGGATGAATGGTTTGGTATTGACTTTGTGAGCTGTGGAGAACAGGAAGTCACATTCTGGACCACGTGGCACATGTGACTTCTGAGAATGGGGCTTCTGTAGAGCAAGCCTTCTGGCAAGCAGTAAATTCTGTTGAAGCTCAGATTTAATAAAGTAAGTAGATGTAGGGAGATTCGTGTGAAGAGACTGAGGATGGAGTTTGATTTGTTCTTTCTCTCTTCCTTTGTTACTAAAGGAAGACTCTAGAAGGCATAGGAGAAGGTGTATGGAGGGATGTTATAGGAGAACTTGAATAAGGGTAAAGAAAGCATTGATTAGAAATGGATTCAGAGTCCAGGAGATGATCGGTGTTGGGTTTGACATCTTCATTTTTCTATCTTCTATGCAAGGCTTCTTGGATTAGCTTGATTTAGATGCTCTTCCTTTGTGTTCTTATGAGAAACTGCACTTACCTTCATCAATATGTTTATTACAATCAGGGGTGGAATCAAATTTTGAGGCCTGATGCATCTACATGATGACAGATCTACTTTAAGAAGAAGAATACCAAATTACAATTGCAAAAAATATGTATAAAAATGAACAGTTATTTAGCATAAGAAAGAAGTCACAGCAAATTAAAAATTTTAAAAAGTTGAAAACACCATAAACATCACAAAATTTACTCCCTAATACTTATAGTAGTAATTAACTTCCTGACATACTTATATAATATGTTTTCCCTACAGTTTTTTAATTGCTGCTTGATTGCTTCTCTATGACAATTACTTTGTTATAATTTCTAAGGCAAGAACTGAAAGGCATTTTCCTTTCCCTAGCATGTTTGCTAAAAATTTATTTTGTATCATTAATAGCTTAGAAAAAAATTCAGCTTCACAACTTGTTATTGGTAGTGAGATAAATAATGACATATATTATTACCAAATTTTAGAAAACCTTTATGAAGTCCTTTATATATGAATTGTAATATTTCAGTGCATTTCAATTTTTTCTTTTATAGTGAACTAATTTTGAAAACTCTTAATTTGGTGACTTTTATAAAGTGCATTGCTGGGCCCCTTCCAGGCTCATTATGGAAGTCTGAACAATGAGGCTCCCTGAAACATAAACTTTATTAGCCTCAGACTAATCTGCTTTGGCTCATATATTATAATCGTCTGTTTACTTGTCTGTTTTTACACAGGTTTAGTGTGTCTTAGACTCATTTTTGTCAGTCATTTGAGACTATGATGAAATCTATGGGTTGTCCCCTCAGCAAATGAAAAGGGCATATAATTTACAAAATTTAAAAAATATTGAATACAATGTTTATTCTTGCCCCTGCCACAAATTTCTGCACAAATTGATAATTCATTTAATGATGTGGTTTTTTTTCATAATATGTAGTAAATGTCCTGCAGTTTGTATGCTCCAAATACATGAATGCTTGCTTAATGAATAAGGGAAGAAACAGACAAGTGTCGCCAGCCAGACTGTATGCCAGGTGCAGAAATTCCCCACTTTCAAAAGCTGTTGCTAAATATATTTGAGCAAACATTGGGACCCTCCCCTGCTATGCTAAAATACCAGGTACTCTGATGCCTTTGACGGAGTTCCTTTTCGCAAGGCCTTTAAACTACATAGATTCTCATTTTCTCTTCTGAAGGCATTTCCTTTTGTTTTCGGGATTCTCCTGCCAGTAACTGGGGAGAACAACATTGTTCTCCCCGTACATACCCTTAGAGGATATCAGCTTTTTACGAATGTTTTTCCTCCTTTAAAAATTATAATCAAATAAGAATATGTTTTAAGTAGCATTCATTTATAAGCCAAGGCAGTTCACCACGACCCCTCCCTTTTTCCATTTTACACTGTACACAGAGATATACTCGGCACTATAGAAGATACTATTGTAAAATGAGTGAAAATCATTAACCCTGCCATAAGGATTTTTCAGTGTAATAGTGTTATGAGTGAAGGAGAATCCAATGAGGAGACAGTAAATCACTTTGAGATAAAAAAAAAAACTAAAGTAAACCATGAGACTGATGCAAATTGATACAAGAATTGTTGTGATTATTTTTGATGTCTCCAGTTTTGACAGTCAAAGGGGAGACTATCAATAGTTATTGTGAAGGCAACAGGCATAAACCAATACTGTCTTGCACAAATTGAGATATAAAGTCACCCTACTATTAAGTCTCTTTACTTTTGCTTTAACTTCTTACTATGGACATTTTCATACCACCTATGAAAATTGAATAATTATATAAATACCTCTCTTCCACTTCAACAATTATCAACACATACCCAATATTGTTTTATCTATACCCTCTAACTCCCCAACCCCATTTACTAAAAGCAAGTCCAAAGTATTGTCTTGATGCATCAATCAGTTTTTTGTCTCTCCATGCTTTTTCTTTCCAAATTTTCTTACCCAATCCTATCACCATCCCCACCCGTCTTTTTATTTTTATTTTCAGCATTGCAGTTCTGATGATCCAACTCTGCCAGGACACAGATCTATAAAGGTCAGCCCTGCACCCTGAGCAGCTCAGGAGGAGCCAGACCAGCAGTTCCTCACACTCTGCACTCTTCTGCTCTGGACAGGTGGTGCCATAATGGTGGCTATGGAGGCTGGAGCATCCATGAGAGTCACTCTACTGCTGCTCTGGCTTGGGGTGTCTCTGTACCCACCTGGCCTTTCCCAGGCTGGGCCCTCCGAACGCCTCAGCTCCCCAGAAGTAGTGATTCCCTTGAAGGTAACCAGCAGAGGCAGAGGTGCAGACGCTCCGGGATGGCTCTCCTATAGCCTGCTGTTTGGGGGCCAGAGACATATTGTCCACATGAAAGTCAAGAAGCTCTTGATTTCCAGACATTTCCCAGTGTTCACCTACACAGAGCAGCATGCCCTCCTGGAGGATCAGCCCTTTGTCCCTGATGACTGTTACTATCACGGCTACGTGGAGGGAGCCCCTGGGTCTCTGGTTGTTTTTAGCACCTGTTTGGGGGGCTTTCGAGGGGTGTTACAAATAAATGACCTCACTTACGAAATTGAACCCATCAGGCACTCTACCACATTTGAACACCTGCTTTATAAGATAAACACTAATGAGACACAATTCCTTCCCATGAGATGTGGCTTAAAAGCAAAGGAAATAGCATTCCAACACTTGGAATTCGAAGAGGTTGAGAACTCAGCTCTGAAACAAAATTCTACTGGTAACTGGTGGACCCATGCATGGTTTCTGGAGCTAGTTGTGGTGGTCAACCACGATTTCTTCATTTACTTCCAAAGCAACTTCTCAAATGTGCAAGAGGACGTATTTCTTGTTATCAACATAGTGGATTCCATGTATCAGCAGTTGGATACTTATGTAATTTTGGTTGGGATTGAAATTTGGAATCAAGGAAATGTTTTTCCAATAATAAGTATAGAACAGGTTCTGGAAGATTTCTCTCACTGGAAACAAATCAGTCTTTCCCAGATACAGCATGATGCTGCACATATTTTCATAAAAAATCCTCTTATAACTATACTTGGTATAGCCTATGTTGCAGGAATATGTAGTCCTCCTATTGATTGTGGAGTTGATAATTTCCGAGGAGACACCTGGTATCTTTTTGCCAACACTGTAACCCATGAGTTAGGTCACACTTTGGGTATGCAGCATGATGAGAAGTTCTGTTTTTGTGGGGAAAAAGGTTGCATCATGAGTGCTTTCAGAGTGCCAGCAGAGAAATTCACCAATTGCAGTTATGCTGATTTTATGAAGACCACTTTAAACCAGGGATCATGCCTGCACAATTTTCCAAGACCAGAGGAAGTCTTTATGTTGAAGCGCTGCGGGAACGGCGTGGTTGAAAGAGAAGAGGAGTGTGACTGTGGATCTGTACAGCAGTGTGAACAAGATCCCTGTTGTCTGTTGAACTGCACTCTGAGGCCTGGTGCTGCTTGTGCTTTTGGGCTTTGTTGTAAAGACTGCAAATTCATGTCATCAGGGGAACTCTGTAGACAACAGGTCAATGAATGTGACCTTCCAGAGTGGTGCAATGGGACATCCCATCAATGTCCAGAAGATAGATATGTGCAGGATGGGATCCCCTGTAGTGACAGTGCCTACTGCTATCAAAAGAGATGTAATAACCATGACCTACAGTGCAGGGAGATTTTTGGTAAAGGTGCAAAGAGTGCACCTTGGAATTGCTATAAAGAAATCAACTCCCAGGGAAACCGTTTTGGTAACTGTGGTATAAATGGCACGGCATACCTAAAATGTAATACCTCTGATATCTTTTGTGGGAGAGTTCAGTGTGAGAATGTGGGAGCCATTCCTTCTCTCCAAGATCATTCTGCTGTGCAGCACACTCACATCAATGGTGTCACCTGCTGGGGTATCGACTATCATTTAGGAATGGACATCCCTGACGTTGGTGAAGTTAAAGATGGCACTGCATGTGGCCCAGGAAAGATCTGCATCCACAAGAAGTGTGTCAGTCTATCTGTCCTGTCACAAGTCTGCCTTCCTGAGACCTGCAATATGAAGGGGATCTGCAATAACAAGCATCACTGCCACTGTGGCTATGGGTGGTCCCCACCCTACTGTCTGCTCAGAGGCTACGGAGGAAGTGTTGACAGTGGCCCAGCATCTGCAAAAGGAAGAGTTTTCTTGCCACTAATTGTGATTTCTTCTTTGTCTGTTTTAATTTTTCTGTGTACTGTTGGGCTTGTTATGTATCTTCGACAATATTCTGGTCCCCAGGAGCCTAAGGTTCACTCATCAGGTTAAAAAAATCTCTAATTTACTATCCCATGCATTATTGAGTTTTGGTCTCTTAGCTGTAGAAATGTTAGTACATGCCTGAAACTGAGCACATTTCTGACTGTTTATTGAAAAATGCAGGGATCCTCCCTTCCATCAGTATCAGAAATATTGTGATTAAGTACAAGTAATTCCTAACATGTTCCTACCTTCTGTTCATTGGTTTAACGCAGCAAGTAAATTTCCATCTTATCCTTTCTTTAGTCCTTTTGTGTTTCTTATGCATAGATATGACTTACGAGAAAGGCAGGAGACAGATATCAGGGTATCCAGGAGTGAGTCTTGCCTCTTGACTGCCATTTAACTGGAAAATTACTTTAATTTTCTGAGATTCCGCTTCAAAATCTGAAACAGGGGATGATAATAATGTTTGTCCCACTCAATTCCTTGAGATTATTTGGTAACCAAAAGAGAAGGAAGTGAATTTTTGTTAAGTATAAACAAATTGTTTGTTTAATATTAATAAAAACTCCCGACCTTGTTCCCTGTGTGCTTCCTAGCCAAGCTTGTCTATTCTCTTTGTCTTTCTTACTTACTTATTTATTTAATTCATTTATTTAGAGACAGGATCTCACTCTGCCACCCAGTCTGGAGTGCAGTGGCAAGATCATAACTCATTGTAACCTCAAACTCCTGGACTCAAGTGATCATCCTACACTGGCCTACCAAAATGTTGGGATTACAGGTGTGAGCCACCAAGCTAAGCTCTATTCTCTTTGTATGTATATATGTATGTATTTATTTATTTCAATAGATTTAGGGAGTACAAATGGTTTTTTGTTAATATGGATAAATTGTATATTGGTGAAGCCAGGCTTTTGTTGTACCTGTCACTCAAATAATGTACATTTTACCCAATAGGTAAGTTTTCATACCTCACCCTGCTCATGCACTTTCCCTTTCTGAGTATCCAGTGTCTATTTATACCACTCTGAATGCTCATGCATACCCATTACTTAGCTCCCACTTGTAAGTGAGAATGAGTATTTATTTTTCCATTCCTGAGATACTTCTCTTATGATAATGGTCTCCAATTCCATCCAAGTTGCTCCAAAGACATTATTTCATTCTTTTTTTATGGCTGAATAGTATTCCATGATGCGTGTGTATGTGTGTGTGTGTGTGTGTGTGTGTGTGTGTGTGTCACATTTTCTTTATCCACTCATTTGTTGATAGGCACTTAGGTTGATTCCATATCTTTACGATTGTGAATTGTGCTGTGATAAACATGAGTGCAGATGTCTTTTTATGTAATGACTTCTTTTCCTTTGGGTAGATATCCAGTAGTGGGATTGCTGGATCAAATGGTAGATCTACTTTGAGAAATCTCCATGCCATTTTCAAGAGAGGTTGTACTAAATTACATTCCCATCAACAGTGTATAAGTGTTCCCTTTTCACCACATCTACACTAACATCTATTGATTTTTGACTTTTTAATAATGACCATTCTGATGAGGTAAGGTGGTTTCTCATTGTGGTTTGAATTTATATTTCCCTGATGATTAGTGATGTTGAGCATTTGTATATCTTCTTTTGAAGAGTGTCTGTTGATGTCATTTGCCCATTTTTTAACAGGGTTGTTTGTTTTTATCTTGCTGATTTATTTGCGTTCCTTGTAGAATCTGGATGTTAGTTCTTTGCTTGGATGTATAGTTTGCAAATATTGTTTCTCATATTGTCAGTTGTCTGTTTACTCTGTTGATTATTTCTTTTGCTGTCAGAAACTTTTTAGTTTAATTAAGTCCCATTTGTCTATTTTTGTTTTTGTTGTATTTGCTTTTGAGGTCTTAGTCATAAATTCTTTTCCTAGTCCAATGTTAGAAGAGGTTTTTTTAGGTTTTCCTTTTTTTAATTTTTATTTTTTATTTCAAAGTATCAGGGGGGTACAAACACTTTGGTTACGTAAATTGCTTTTGCACTGCCCAAGAAGCGTGCCCATCTCCCAGACAGTGCACACCCTTCTGGTGGATTTACCCATCCTCTCCTCCCTCCTTCCATCTGCCTGACACCTTATGAATGTTACTTCCCATATGTGCACATTAGTGTTGATCAATTAGTACCAATTTAATGGTGAGTACATGTGGTGTTTGTTTTTCCATTCTTGTGATACTTCAGTTAGAAGAATGGGCTCCAGTTCCATCCAAGATAAATACAATAGGTAGTTCATCATTTTTTTTTATGGCTGATATACATATACCACATTTTGTTAATACATTCATGTATTGATGGGCACTTGTGTTGTTTCCACATCTTTTCAATTGTGAATTACGCTGCTGTAAACACTCTGGTGCAGGTGTCTTTTTTACTGACTCATCATACAGGGTGTGGTCGATT